CAGGAAGGCGGCGCCACCTGCCGGGCCGGGCGCCGCCAGCTGGGGAAGGGGGGGTGGGAGATGGGCCGCCCCGGCCTCGTCCCTCGTGTCCGCGGGGAGCAGCTCGCAGGATTGGGACGAAGCGGGAAAAGCCCCTTCTCACCCTTGGAGCTCGCGGGGATCGGCCTCCCCCGAAGTCCAACAGCTCAACTGGAAAGGGCCCCATTTCCACCCCCCAGGGAGCATTTCTGAAAATCAGGCCAGGCCTGGAGGGATTTCAAGCTGGCCAAGCAAAAGGACCAGCTGGCGTTTTGGCGTGTTTGGGCAGACCCTGTAAACCCAGCCTATGCCGTGAGGCAAGAGCACAGCGCGGTTGTGTCGGTGTGCAGCGTACTGGCCTAGGTTAAAACAACGTTGGGCGGGGGTGGGCATTTGCTCTGCAAACGGCAAAGACAGGTAAATCCTGCTAAAGGCCTGGAACTCTGGGACAAGCCCACCTGCAAGGTACTTTGCATGGCTCTGACTCCCAGCCGGCTTGGGCCTCGTGCCTCTGTTTCCAGGATGCCTATTATAATTCCCAGCAGCTGGCTGGGACCAGCCTCTGAAATCCAGGACGGTCCTGGCTAAAATGAGACTTTACTTACAGGCCACAACCCTCTAGTAGGTGCCTGGTGTCCAGAATGAAATGCAGATTGTTAGGCTGAGCGCTTAAGCTCACCATATGCTATGGAGAGGGTTTGACGCTTCAAAATAGGGGCCAAAACAGCCAGCTGAGCAGGGAATCTCTCAGCACACTAAGCTAGTAGCTATTTAGAGCTAGTCAACAGGAATGACTGAGGACAGCAGCAAGTCTTAAGTTTCAACCCTTACGGGCCTTACTGGGGCCTGCGGAGAGGTACTATGCTTTGGATACACCTTCTCCCAAAAGCAGACATTTATGCCCTTCCTTTTCGAGAGACTGATCAGGGCTCAAAGTTTTGTTGTACATTGGAGTGACAGCTCTCAGTAGCGGTAGTGATGGGTGTCAGTCCTTGCTCCTAAGGTTGTATTTTCTTTTTGACGTGAAACAACCATTGGATAAAGTACATATGCAGCCCTGGGAGCAGGAATCAGAACCCAGGCCGCTGCTCACACATGTAAGTACCCTGAACATTAGGCTGTAAAGCCTGGGTTTCTCTAGTTCTCTCTCACTTGATCAATTTAGCTTGAAATCTTATTTTAGCTCCTCAACAGGAAGAGTGGAGCATTTTTCTCTCCTCTCTCTCAAATAGCTCTGGTGGTTACAGCAGTCTCCAGGAAGTTGGATATGTAGGTTTGAATCTGCTCAAGCAGAGAGGGAACTGGATTAGATTCCAGTAAGAGCTGAATGGGGGTTATCACTATTTTGGGACCTAAAAGCACTAAAACTACATTGGCTTTTCTTTTGCACCAGTAGCACACTGTTGATTCATATTCTGCTTGTGGTCTACTATTACTCCTAGGCTTTTTTTTTGCAACAGTGAAACATAGTTGGTCATTCCCCAATTTGTATTTGTGCATTTGATTGTTCCATCCCAAGTGCAGTATTTTGCACTTGTCTATATTTATTACATTTCACGTGATAAATTTTGAACAGTTACTCCAATGTACCAAGGTTATTTTGAATACCAGTCAATAATGTAAGTAGGGCAGGCCATGGGGAGCGCCAACCCCATGCACCAGTTTTGGGAGGACACCAGCCTGATGCGCAGCAGCCACATCCAGGCAGGTGTACAGATACAGAACCAACTCCAGACCTGGCCCCAGCAAAGCAGCATGCAAGAGGTCAGCACTTGGCTCTGGTCTCTGCCCTGGAGCCAGCCCAGTAAGGCAGCATGTAGAGAGCCAGCCTTGGTAGCAGCTGCCATCAGGTATGATTCTCTTGTGCTTGCCCCTGCTTGAACATCCCTGCTGCTGCTCACAGGTGCTTGGCACAACCCTCAGCCCCTCTTTCTGCCCAGGGTACAAAAATCATTAGTTATACGTCTGATCCCAATCCTAGCCTTCAAAGTCTCTGATACCCCATCCAGTTTGGTATCAACTGCAGTTTACTAAATGCTCACTCAATCCCATCTTCCAAGTCATTAATGAAGATACTAATCTGTTTCAGGATTAGGACAGACCCCTGGAGAGCCCCCCACCTGATACCTCCTCCCATTTAGACATTGAACCATTTATAACTACTCAGTGAACACGATCCAACTAATTATACACCCACCTTACAGTAGTTTTGTCTAGATCAGTGTTTGTCAGACTTCTGATACTTGGGTACACTTTTTCTAAATTAAAATTGGCAGCACACCCACACTTTTACACCCAAAAAGGTGGGGGTGCACCATTAAAACAATGACACCAAATACATCTTTCATTAAGCAAGGTTTTGTCTCTATACCAGGGAGGGTATCTTAGGAGCCAGAACAGGGCAGGAGTTGTGAGGCCACCAGGGGGTGTCAAGACCACCCCGGGACTTGGTTCTGCTACACCTCCTCACACAGGGATTTTGCAGCACACTTCCTTCACTTTCACGGCATACCTTTGAGGCTCACAGATCTAGACTGTGTTTCTATAACTTGCTAATGAGAATATCATGTGAGGCATTGTTAAAAGCCTTGATAAAAATCAAAACATATCAGTTCTCTGCTCTATCCACAAAACCCCTCACCTCATCATAATAGAAAGTAGTCCCACTAGAATTCAGGGAGTCATTTATACCTGGTACAAGACCCATACACTTTGGTACAAGAGTATGGGCAAGGCAGCCCTGGCTATTGCACTTTTTGTGGGAAGGAAAGTTTGGGATTTAAAATACAGACTCATCCCACTCAAGGAGTTATAGGGAAGATACTGCTGAAGGAAAAGGTGTCTGTTTGAGGATGCTTTTGGAATTAATAACACTTTGGGGAGCTAACTAACTTCTTCGAATATAGGGCTTTGACTATTAATATTGAGCTAACTGTTTTCACTCTGTTCATGCTTTGCTGGAGGACTAATGATAGGTACCAGAGCGATGAAGATTAACTTCACATCTGCTGCAAGATCTCTCAAACCATTGTAGTACCTATCTGAATACAAGTGAGTGTCCCTTCACCACTAGGCTAGCGGAGTACTTCTAACCTTGATTTATTGTAAGCTTAGATCTTACGTTTTTTCAAACTCTAGTAACACAAGTCCTTCAAATAACTCTCTGCTGTACTTCAAGTAATTAACTGATGTTAAAACAACAGTAAAAAAAATTCTAAAGGAAAAAAGTAGTGGACCACTCTACTCTCACTAAAACAGTAGTAACAGTTTCCTCCAAGATAATTACCTTGAATGTACACAAATCAGAATTTGCCTCTTGATCTCCTACAGCAGGGGTTAGTAACCTATGGCCTGTGAGCCAGATCCAGCCCCAGGAGCCATTGGACCTGGCCTGTGGAGCTTGGGCTTTGGCAGCATTCAGTAGTGAAGGGCCTTGGCAATGGGATTTTGCCCACTGAAGCCAGGCAGCTGGGAGCTTCACCCATGCCATATGACAACTGGGCAGCAGGGAGAAACAGCAGCTGGGTCCTGGTGCCAGTCCACCTCAGACCCAAGCTAAGCCATTCTGTCATGCCACCGGGAAATGTCCCTGACCACTCTCATGCACAACTGAAGCTAGTTGTGTGAACTTTCCCCACCCCCTTTCTTTTTTTTTTTTAAACATAATGAGGTTGGTGTTTTGTTGAAACAAAGATGCAGGTATCTAGAAATGTGTTCAGAATTAAATATTTTTGATTTAAAAGTTCCTTTTATGAACTGACCATAATGTTGGGGGCAGTTTAAATGTGATGAACTACACAGACATGTGGTTCTGTACATCAGGAAAACTTTAAAGAACAATCAATGAAAGTGCATTACAGCAAAAGTACAAAAAAGAAAAGGAAGTAAATTTTTGTAGGCATACAGCACCCTGTTGTTCCAACTTACGACAAGAACAGTTCTGATATTCAAAAGTTACTGAATATTTGCTTTATGTTATCCCTCACTAAAAAAATAAGCACTATAAGGTATTCCTAGTGTAGACTGAAAAAAATGATATGAAGTTCAAAATATTTAAATCCACTTGATTTAAAACATCAAAGTAATTTAGCAGATACAAGACATTTCATACACAGACATGTCTAAAGATGCCTTCTTTCTTCATTCTATTTATACTACCTGAAAACTACCCCAAGGTTGGAATTTGCTATTAGGTGCCCTGTTCTAATGAACATAAAAAGATTTCTGGGACAGTGGATCTGAAGGAAGTAAGGTGGTACAGGGAGGGGATGTGCACTAAGGATCAAATTGTTTTTATTTTAAAAATAGTACTAATTCTATTGGTAGTGAAAAATCCATGGGGGAGTACAAGGATATGACTGTTTCAAAGGATTCATTCCCCTCTTCACCACCTCATTCTTAGCTAAACCCTTCCTTGCTGGGACTCCTCCCACCGGATAGGGACAGACATGCAAAAAGCCTGAGACTGAATTGATTCTCTCTTTGCAGGTTAGTCTAACCTGGCTAGGCTGAACCAGTTTGTAACTGTACAGACATCCCATCTGGATTGCAGAAATGCGGGCACATGCCTGCAGTGGCTCAGGTTAGAAGCCAGGGAGCGCTAGAGCAGCCCTCCCTTCCCTTCACAGTGCTAGGCTGAGGGGGGCGTGGCCAGGCCCCACAGAGTGCTGTCATTAGGGAGGGCTTCCCCCCTTGCTGTTGATAACAGAGCATTTAGTTACATAGCAGGGAGTTGCACAGGGAGTTACGAGCATTTATCAGTCTGTCAAACAAAACAAAAGCTTTTCTCATTAGTTCAAGCTCTTCTTAAACAACTTTTTCCAAGGAAGGAAAGTAGGGACATTACCAGTTATCTGTTGATTAACTCCAAAAAGCCCTAAGCTGACACTGTGCTGTCTGCCTTTGTCATGTCTCCCACAGCACAGACCATAGCCAGCAGAGAGCAGAGCCCTGCCCAGTGAAGCATCTGGAATGCTGGGGGACACTTGTTTAATTTAAAACAGGAAGGGGTCTGGGACAGACGCTGCATAAACCAGTTTGACCCAAATCAGTTAAGTCTGATACTACATTCAACCAAGATTATCTCAAACCGATTTCAGACATTTTGAAACTGGTTTATGTGCACTGAACATCTGTTCTGTTACAGGTGTAAACCACTTTCTGATCACTTAAGCTGGTTTATGTGTAATGTCTGTCCCTAACCTCTAACATAATGGATTGGATGTGATTTCTTCCAGAACCCAGCAAATGACGGAGTTTGAGCTCTAAACAAACAGTAGATATGCCTCTGTGTCAACTCAAAGCTGTGTGTGCTGTTTTAACAGGGCAAGATTCTGCTGACTTGGGATAGGAGAGGCAACTTGATTGTTTTAATTATTCAAATAATGGCTCGTACCTTGAATTGAGTGTCTTCAATTGGGAATAAATTAGAATTTTTTCCAGTGAACGGGGTTTTAAAAATGTTACTGTAGCATACATTTTCTTATGACCACGTTACTCTGATGTGATTTCAACATCATAACATGTAACTGTAATAATTAAACTTTTTTCAAGCTAATTAGCCCAAAAAGCTTTTCTTTTACACAACCCATTTCATGATAGTCTGAGTTATAAATCACTGCTTTAGCTGAAACTTGCTGGTTTCCACGCTGTTGCTTCTAGCAGGTCTAATCAGAAAGTTGAATTATTTCAATACTGAAAAAGCTTTTCCATCATCAGGATTGGCAGTTACCATTCGGAGCAATCAAACTGCAAATAAAAGGAGAACAACACTATAAAAGTTTTTTCTGCTTTTTTAAATGATAAAAAAGGCAATTAATGAAACATCAAAATTGTCAGTCTTTTGTAATCAGCAGCATGTTGGAACTGGCGATATGAAACTAAGGCCCCTTCTAGTTGTTACAGGTATCGTGCAATTAACTGGTTAACTATGCAGTTACCTTAAAACCAACTACACGTACAAAGTTGCTATCATGCTGTAAAAAGCTCCAAACAGCTATAAAGTTGGACCTAAAAATGTGTAACAACTTTATAGCTAGTTGCTATTGAGCTTCAATTTGCACATGTAGCAGAGTCCCCTCTGTGGCTGGGAGCCCTGCAGGGGTGCACCATGCCTAGCATGAAACCCCTGGGCTCAGGGGATCACACTGCCATATCCCCCAGGCTTGGGGTGCATTAAAAACAGGGATCAGAGCAGCCACTATCCCCCAGGCTCAGGGGTGTGTGGTGTGTCCCTGCAGCTGGGAGCCCCTCAACTGAGGGGGCTCTCAGCAGCAGGAGCTTACTCCTTGGGCTCCCTCTGCACCGGCAATAAGGCACAATGGGATCTAATGCATAATCCCACAATCACACCTGCTATGTAGCATTTGTGGCATGGCAGGGGATGCAATTGTATGGATCCTGCATTAGCTCCCATTGTGCCTTTACCTGCATATTTAGAGGGAACCTAAATACAAGCAAATGACATATCAGACTACACACTATCCAAAACAGGTTAATGAAACCAAACATTTCCCTAGGTCATTACCAAAAAATATTTTAATTGTATGAACATAAGACTTTTCACATTTAAAATGGAAACAGCTATGGATATGTTCCATACTAAAAGTGAAGACAAAAGTCATTGCTAAAGTTTGACAACATGTATATCATTCCATGCAGCATCCTCTATTTGAAGAAAAAACACTGAAGTCAAGGGGAGTCTGAGAAATAATGGTACAATCGATCAAAATGTTTATGAAAGCTATTGAACCCTCAAGGATACATTCATATTACTGCTTTTATTTAAAAAAATACTTGTTTTAGAGAAATTAATTCCCCTGCTAGAGATGAGCCCAAAAACCTGGCCACCCATGAAACACAATTGTTAATGAATTAAAATGACAAACCAAATGTAGCTAATCACTTCCTATATCCATGAAAGGATCAAGTCCACATTCAGTGCTTGCTTATTTCCAGCATTTTGGAGTGTGTGATATCAAGACATATTTAGGAGCGTACATGCACATAAATGTGAAGTGGAGTAAGTGTCTCCTGTTCCGTCTCTGTAGCCACTATAAAATAATTCACAATTATATCTTCCCCTTTTGATTGTGTGAAAATGTCTTATACACTTGAATGTCTTATACACTTTTGTAGCTTGTTACAAATGTAATTGTCTTATACACTTGAATGTCTTATACACTTTTGTAGCTTGTTACAAATGTAATTGTACATCTGTAGCCACCAAATCAATTTTTGCGGTGGCACTGAGTTTACAAATGCCAGTGAATAACTCCTCATTTCATTAGATATATCAAAAGACCCTCAATTTCCTCATTACCAAGCCTCAGCAGTGCATACAGCAGACAAATTAGCAGTGTAAATCATGCTTTATTCCTAACAACTGCATAACTGGCTTATCTGCATGGTTCCATCAATTACTTACAGTAAATGCTTTTCTTTGCAGTAAACAAGTTGTAAATGGATCATTACATCTTAAATTTATTATTTGGACAGCCGTGGAAGTAATTAGTGGCAATGACTTGTACGCCTGTTTCCTTTAATATTCTTATGAAGTGATAATGATTAAGGACACAGCACATTTTTTGGAGTGGTGGGGCATTTGCTCTTTTCTTTACATGTATGGTGCTGTTCCTTATTTATCTGAAAGAAGTGTTGGATGCTTTGGTCCATTTTAACCTGGCCCTTTTTCTCAGATGATTACAGTCTCAAATTATTGCTTTGCTGCTTATGCAGTGTAATGCAGCACAAGGATTAATGTCAGCAGTTGTAGTTGGTTTTTAATTATTTATATGCCAACTGTAGTCAATAGCTAGTGCACATAATTTAACATGGTACTGTTTTTAGAATTTCCTACAATCTGAAAGCAAACACAAGCCACTGCTCCACTCCAGCCCACTGCCTCCCATCCCCAGCTTCCCAATGTGTTAGGT